CATGCTTGACCCGGTAGGTACAGAACACAGAGGCATCTATGCTTTGGGGCCCCACAGTCCCCTGTGCTTTAATTCCAGTACACTGGGATAATTTCCTTGTCATTCCTTATACTTGTTGCGGGGGGTGTGTCAGAGAACCTAGTTTGGGTACCCAACACCATGGTCAGAAAAGATGATAGACCTCTGTCCAAATGACAGCATGTTGGGGGAGGGAGGTTCTAGAAAGCCTATTGCCTCAGTTTAGACCCATCCTTAAGGAGTTTATTTTTCGGCTCGGCGCCTGTGACTCAAGCGGCTAAGGCGCCAGCCACATACACCTGAGCTGGTGGGTTCGAATCCAGCCCAGGCTGCCAAACAACAATGATGGCTGCAACCAAAAAACTGCTGGGCTTTGTGGTGGGTGCCTGTGTCCCAGGTACTTGGGAGGTGGAGGCAGGAGAATCGCTTGAGCCCAGGAGTTGGAAGTTGCTGTGAGCTGTGATGCCATGGCACTCCACCCAGGGTGACAGCTTGAAGTTCTGTCTCAAAAAGAAAAAAAAAGAAAAAAGAAGTTTATTTTTCAAAAACAAATTCAACTTCTTTGATTTATGGGAACAAACACCATGATTTGTGAATCTCGCAATGCCACCACCATCCAGGCAGAAACATGGATTCTTTAGAGCAGCGTCACCTGATAGCAACTCTGTGAATTTCACCTTTAAATGCTGGATGCTTTGCCAAGTGTAGTTGGATCTTGTGAAAACTCAAACCGTGCTGACTGAGGCCATTTCAAAGCCTCTGTAGTTACATGCATGGAAGGTCAGTCCTCAATTTAATTCTGATTTACAAATGTTTATTACCATCTATTACACTATTGCACAAAGCACCACTGCCGGCAGTGGCGATACAGCCCTGATCACACAAACTTTCCAGCCTTCGTAGAGTTTGCTTGTTAATACATTCGTAAAATGAAGGGAGTTGGAAGATTTCAAAACAGAACAGTTACCTGACAGAATGGAGTTTGCAGTATGGACACCAGGAACTTTCAAATAGAAATCATTCTACATCTAAACCAAGACCCATTGCTGTGCCAGTTTGCCGATCTCCCAATTTGCCCTTATTCTCAAAGATATTCTATGGTTTATAAATATTACTATCAATAATAAAGTGGCCTCCCTACAATTGTTCTAGAACAACAGCTGTGGTTATATAGTTTTTTAGTTATATAATTTTTTATTTTTTTATTTTATTTTATTCATTTATTTTTATTTAAAAGACAGTCAATCACTCTTAATAGAGGGCCATAGTGTCACAGCTCACAGCAACCTCCAATTCCTGGGCCTAATCAATTCTCTTGCATCAGCCTCCCAAATAGCTGGGATTACAGGCACCTGCCACAACCCCTGGCTATTTTTTTTTTGTTGTTGTTGTTCTTGTTGCAGTTTGGCCAGGGCTGGGTTTGAACCCACCATCCTCGCCATATGGGGCTGGCGCCCTACCCATTGTGCTAAAGTTGCCACTCAGTTATATAGTTTTTAATAAGTGGTAGGAATGTAGATATATGTCCTAAGGGATTTTTAATTTATTGATGCATTTGAACATCACGGCAGCCCTGGAAGGCAGGTGCTACTGTTATTCCCATGTTCAGATGAGAAAAATGAGGGTAAGTAACTTGTCCAAGGTCAAACTGGTGACTTGGGTGTCAGGAGTCACCTCAGGCTATTTTGTGCTTAATCTGTTCCTGAAGTTAAAACACACTACGTGGAGTGCAAGCAAAATATTTCCAAGAACCTTCTGAGCAGTTCTAAAGACAGCAGAGAGGTGCCTTTGACTCAGGGACCCAAAACAAGGAGTCACAGGCACAGAGCCTCAGCTTCCTGCACTCAGCCATGACAAAGGGTCCAGTCTGGACATATGGGGACACCAGAGCTTCTCTGTGATCTTTTCTGATCTGTTTATTTGCCTGAAAACTCTCTGGATCATGTTGGTACTTACAAGGGTACTGTAGCAAAGACCCAGTGTCCGAGGCCTAGGGCCTGTTTGGATGTTGACATCAAGCTGAGGTAGCTTATGGCAGTTGTCACAGAGAGATGCCAGGGAGGGTGGCCAGCAGCTTACTGAGCAGGGTCACACAGGACACAGATCCTTGGTGGGGTGCACAGAGCCTGTCTGACCTGTGGGCTTGCTGGGCTCATAAACTGATATCAGAACACACGTCGTGTGCAGGTACAGAGGGGCTACTTCCTGTTCACCACACTCTCCATGGAGGGGAGACTCAATGTCAAGGTGCTCATTACAAATGGAGATACTGCTTTGTAGTGACAAGGATCGGGTGCCTTTTACCAAAGTGTGTGGGGGCCATGTTAATCGTCAGTGGTTGTTGGTGGTCACACAGTGGGAGCCAAGGGACGTATTTTCCAGAATGTAGTAAGGCATCACTCCCAGTACAATAGGAAACGAAGTTCTAGGAGCTGGAGAGTCCCCACGTGCAGCCCAGGGGTGGATAATCAGGCCTTTCTGTCCTACAGTGATGCAGAATGGACCCCTCCATGCAGACGGGCTGGTGACTACCACTGTTTAGATGACTGTTGTACATCCTCCGGGCTCTTTGGTGAAAAGCAAGAGAGAAATAGACCCTGCTCAAATAATGATGTTGGGGACCCAGACTGGACATGGGCAGGTCTGGAGGGCCCAAAAGCTCACTCCTGTGAGCCAGGAGTGGTTTCACAGCCTGGCCAGTCTGGTCTGGACACCACAAGTTCTGTGTTTCACACTCAGGTTTCAATCACCAAGGAAGAGTATCTAATTTTTAGTAGGAGTCACATGCCTGACTTTGGCCTAGAAGAGGCCCATACATGAGTCTTCTTAGGCTGGCATCCATGAAAAGAGCTAATTCTTCAGTGGAAGTCAGGGTGCTTTTCAGAAGTGGAATCAGTGCTGGACTGCTCCAGGCAACAGAAGTCCACAGCAAGTTAATAAAGCCCATGAACTGAAGACTATTGAGAGCAAAGGTATAATAAAGAGAAGTTGGGCTCCCTGGGTCAGGGGGACGCCCCCCAGAGGAACCCGGGGCACTGTGCTGAGAAGGAGCCTGCATGGCCTTATTCGACACCTGGGTATTGGTTTGATGATTCCAAGGATTTTAGGAAGAGAGGATCTCTTCTGGATTGGATGTCACTTGGAAGTGGGTACAATTAATGATTAGACATCTTAACAATTTTTATCTAGGAGGCAGGAAGATGAAAGTGAGAGTAGAGATTCATTGGGTGAAGGAGCAGTCATCACTGATGTTAGGCAGATAAGAGGAATGTTTAGTGATTTCTTTGGTTGTTGAGTGTCTTTGTCATTGTCTTATTTCAGACATGGTCAGAGTGGCCTTGCCTCTCTCCATTCTGGAAGTGTTTTCAGTGTTCCTGGGGAACCTTATGCTCTAGCTGCCAGCTGTGAGCTGTCATCTGGGGAGTTTCTGATTTTCTTAAAGTCTTTGACAGTCATCAAAACAGATCTGGGCTCCAGGCCCTGATGTTCCTCCTAGTGACTTAGAGAGTCACCAGCATTTAAGGTGACATCTGTAGCTAGCTGACCACATCCTTAGAGGCTGCTGCCACCAGAACTAGATAAAGGGGTGTTGGAGGGCTGCCCTGCAGGTGTTGACCGTGTGACCCTCAGGGACTGCAGGGCCCTTGGTACAATTTTATTAACAAGTCTGAGGATGCCTTTAGATTTTACTACCTTGGTCGTAATGCCCTGTGAACCCAGTTTCTGACTGAAGGAATTTTTCCCCCAGGTAAGAGTATTGGGATAAAGAGATTTTAGTGGTTTCCAAAATGGAATCATTAAACTGCATAGCTGGCCCACAATTTAATGGAAAACAAGCATCCTTCATGCATTGATGTAACTTCTTCCTCTCATTGCTGATGGCCCAAATTCTCCTGAAAACATTAATCCGGGGATGAGGAACTGGGACATAAGTACAGTCAGGGTCCTTGTAGGTGAGGGGACCTCACTGCCAGTGGAAGGTAGAAAGGAAAGAAAGGACACCCCGGGCCTCTCTGCTTTGAATTCTTTTACCCCTCATGATATGACTGCTTGAGCCTTCTGTGTAGGCTCCAGATTATCACTGTCCATTCTGCCATTCATGAAAATACCACTGGGCCAGCTCCAGAATGGCCACAGCCAAGCCCGGTTCCTCCAGCAGGCCCTGGGTGCTGTGCAGTGTGCTGTTGGCTTCTGCTTCCTGGCACCTCCCTGGTTCCTCCTGTCTCTCTTCCTCCTTCTAGGCACTTGGTGAATTTGTCCTGGTGGAAAAAGATGTCAAGATTAAGAAGAAGGGAAAGATTTACAGCCTCAATGAGGGCTATGCCAAGTATTTTGACGCTGCCACCACTGAATATGTGCAGAAAAAGAAATTCCCTGAGGTGAGTGAAGCAAGTCCAGGTCACCGGCAGGGAGCATGCTGTCACCAATGGGGCCCTGTTTGGGGGGTGGGGGCCTTGCCAAAAGAGGTTGTTGGCGCTGTTCATGGCTCTGGTCAGTACAAGTGTGGTGGACTCTGTCTTTCTTCTTAAGCAATTAATACCTTTCGAGTTTTTCTAGGAGAAATTACTTATAGAGAATATAGGGACCATGTTTCCAAATTTCAGAGGTGTAGGTCACAGCTGCCTTACGTCATTTGTTTGCTAAATTCAAACCTATAGAGTCACTCTCAGTTACATTTGCTTTTAGAAGGGGTAATT